TTTAAAGCGCTATTGAAGGTCACTCCAAGGTTTGTGACAGAGGGGAGGATATTATTTTTGAGGGAGCCCAGAATATCAACCTGGGAGGTTGGGGTCCAAAAAAGATAACCTCAGTCTTGCTCTCATTGAGGTTGAGGACATTTTGGCTCAGCCAGGATTTGATCTCTGCTAAGCAGTTCATCAATAGCTGTAATGAGTTGTCATTTGAATTGAGTGGCAGATAGATCTGTACATCGTCGGCGTAGCGGTGGAAGGTGATGTTGTGTTTTGTGAGAATTGAACCTAGGGGCAGTATGTACAGTAGAAAAAGGATGGGGCCCAGAATCGAGCCTTGGGGAACCCCACAAGTAAGAGGAGAAGGCACCTAACTGCACAGAGAAGCTACGGTCTGTCAGGTAGGACCTGAACCATGCAAGGGCAGAGCCTGTGATGCCTGCAGACTGTTCGAGCCGTGACAACAGGATGCTATGGTCCACAGTGTCAAAGGCAGCTGTCAGGTCTAACAGGACCGGGACAGCTGGGCTACCTGAGTCGGCGGCTAGGAGCAGATCATTAAAAACTCTTAAAAGGGCTGTTTCAGTGCTGTGAATGGGTTTGAAGCCAGACTGAAACTTTTCATGGATGCCATGCATGGTTAAAAAAGACTGCAGCTGGGCGTAGACTACTCACTCCAGAACTTTGGATAAAAAAGTTAGCTGGGAGATGGGCCTAAAATTTGCTAGAATGGAGGGGTCTAGATTTTTCTTTTTAAGTAGTGGCTTTACCACGGCAGCTGGGACACACCCTGAGCTAAGAGAGGTGTTTATTAGTAATACAATACTTGCTCCAACTGATTCGAAAACATCTCTGAGAAGGCGAGAGGGAATGCTGTCTGAGGTGCAGTTTGTCGGCTGCAGGTGCATGACTACATACGAGAGAGAAGAGAGAGATACAGGCTCAAAGTGGTCGAGGACAGCAGGGCACAGGAAAGGAGCAGGATCTGGAGTAGCACTAGTGTGGGCTAGCCTAAGAGCAGATACTTTTTCAATACAAAATGTAAGAAACTTATCACAGAGAGTAGTCGATGGCGCAATAGAAGAAACATCACAGGGATTAATGATCGAGTTGAGGACATTAAAAAGAACCTGAGGTTTATGGCTGTTTTTGGAGATTAACAGAGAAATGTGCTCTGTTTTGGCTGCTTTGACTGCCGTCTGGTAGTCGGAAAGACAAGCACGAAGGATTTCTAAGGAGACATGGAGTTTATCCTTTTTCCATTTTCTTTCTGCGCACCTGCAAGCGCGTCTGAGGGCACGAGTACAGTAATTTAGCCAAGGCTCTGAGAGAACTTTGGTGCGTCTAAGCGTAAAAGGAGCAACAGAATCCAAAATTAGTGTACATGTCGAGTCAAACATACAGATAAGCTCATCAGCATTAAAAGCACAGTTCACATCTAATTTACAGATCAGGGAAACATTAAAAACATCAGAAAACTGTGAGGCAGTCAAGGGGTTAATCGAACGCAGACGACGCGCAGGAGCACGTGATTCGACTCCTGCGGAAGGGATCGAGGTTGTAAACAGAACCGGTAAATGGTCTGAGATACGCGTTGTTACACAGATTTCATCCACAGATAGTCCAAACGATAATACTAAATCTAAAGTGTGTCCTTTTTCGTGTGTTGGGCCAGCTACGGACTGAATGAGACCGAATTAATCGAGGAGATTTAAAAAATCCCTAACCAGAGGTTTGGACTCGCAACACACATGGACATTGAAGTCTCCGCAAATCAAAACACGATCATATTTCACAATGATCCCGGACAAAGTTAGCAAAGTCATTTATGAAACCCTTATTGCACTTTGGCGGACGATACACGACTGCGCAGAGTATAGGCGAGGACGGGTTAAGTTCAAAAAGCTGCAACTCAAAGCTAGCATAGCTAGTTACAGGGTGAAGCAATCGGCATTGGAGGCTAGATCTAAACACTGATGCTATTCCCCCACCATGGCCGGTGGTACGGGGGGAGCTGAAGAATGTACAGTCAGGAGGAAGAAGTTCAGAGAACGGTGTATACTCGCCAGCGTGGACCCAGGTCTCCGTCAGAAACATAAAATCCAGATCACTAAGGGTTTACTGCTTCTGTGTTTTGTGGTTCATTTCAGAATAATCTGGAAAACTATTGGTGTGTTTCAGATTTATGTGTCTTTATTCCCGTTATGGCATAGACCGGTTGAATTTGAGTCGGTCAATGTCGCTGATTGTATCTCATAAAAATATTTTTAAATGTTGGCTTGGTCGCCTTAATGGAGGAAAGCGGTCGACAAAGTGTTTTGATTGTTATTACAGTGAGTTTAATGGCGCCTCGGTGCGCACAAAAGAGAAGAAAACTGTCTTGGCCGCTGTAACTGCGTGTGCGCTCCAAATCAAGTTATACAGTATCAACATGTTTAAAACAGAATAAGGTAACTCTAGAAGCTTCACTTGGCTACTACAGTCGCCCAGTTAAAGGTTGTGTAAGGTTGTGTGTGCTTGCTTTTATTGTTATGAGTGTGCGAGTATATTGGGTTACATGGCGGATATAAGGCTCTATCCCCCCTTTCATCAGCTGAGTGAGGAAGAATCGAGCAGCGACACACTGCAATCTGACACTGACGTGTGCACACAGACTTTAATACACACAGTAGCAGAAAGCAGACACACATCAATGCTGCCCATCACTCACCAGCACAAAACCTCACAGCTGCTTTCCACTGATAATAACACACATCTGTCGCTCTGGTATTAGATTATATCCTCAGTAGAACTTGAACACCTGAAATTTGGTTTGAACTTAAAATAATCATGTACATTCAACATTCCAGTAAAACACTTACACTATTACGGGCTTTGAGGCAGATTTAATTTTATCAAGCCAGCCATTATCTGCCTTTCTAAAGGGATCCTCAGAAACCCTCTTCTAGCTGAACACACTGTTGTTGACCTTGACCTCTCCTGGTCAGACAAAAGGACAAACTACCTTACTGAGGTCAACAGTGAAGGTCGAGTTGTAAATGTATGTGGAGGGAAAAATCTAAAAAGCAATCCTTTATTTTGGGATTTTTTTTAATAGAATATGCTAAAACTCTTTTTCCCACTCTGTTGCTTATTACATTTAACTTCACTCCCACCTATACATTTGTATCAGTTTATTTTTCATTATGTGCTTGCTTACAAAGCCATTTAACTTGGATGCAATTCCAGATTGGAAAATGATAGTTTAACATTTTGGGAAATATGCTTTTATCAAAAGTTCTTATTTTCAGTTAGCAAAGAAAATGCATAGCGCTCATGTCTATACAATAAATATGAAGCCACATGGACTATTAATTTAATAGAAGCAAGAGGAAATTTAACCGGCTAAAAACAGCTAGCATAGCCTTGTCACACTCACAGCTAGCATAGCCTTCTCCAAATGAAACTAAATTCACCTGCTAGAAGCTCACATGTTTTGTTTGAATTAATCCTTACGGAACTGAATTCATAAAAACTACAATTTGTCCCTAAGTAGTTTTAGCCACAAATTGTCAGATTTGGTCATAGCCAGACTAGCTGTTTCCAGTCTTTGTGCTAAGCTATTGGCTGCTGGCTGTAGCTTCATATTGTGTGTGTGCAGATACAGGACTGGTTTCAATCTTCTCATCCAACCCTCGGCGAGAGAGCAAAAAATGCTTTTTAGTGAAATGCCCTATACACATGAAAAATGACAAAAGTGTTTGTTTTCAAGATCATCAGAAAAATAATATTCTTTTGCCAAAATGTTTAAGATTCAAAGTCTTCATTTTCTGGACACTTATCCCTCTCTCCGGTCCTTCTCACACATGAGTGCGTCATATAACAACCCTGATCTGTGCTCACAGTGGAGAAAATTACCTGAGTGTATTGGTGAGAAACTGAATGATAAAATCTAGTTTTAAAGGAGAACCCAAGTAAGTGAAGGGTTTGAATAGTTACTGTGTAACTGTGAGTATCTGTGTGTACCTTTAGTGTTTGCAAAGGAGAGGGGGGGGGGGCGGGTAATTACGGTGTAGAATGTCTTCCTCATCACTGGAGCTGACCTGAGAACACACCGGTTAATCATCCACTAACTGGCAGCGAGAGGGGGAGAGAGATCCAGGGTTGCATTCGACAAAGTTAGACTGAAAGAGAAAGAGACACCTTCATTCGTTAAAAGGTAAGAGGAAGAGACAAGTCTTCATCAAATAGTTTGGACTGAAGGATATACTTACCATAGAGTGGAAGGACAAACAACCTGCGTCCGAGGAAAGGCACCTGCGTCTGACGAGGGATCTTTTAGCAGTATTCTCTCTTTGTGCGTTAGTATGTGTGTTCTATGTGGGCCGTCCGGTTTTTGGATTTGATTGTGTGCGCTTGAGAGGGGGCCACATGGGGTCCTGGCCCTGTAAGGGATGCCAGCTGCAGCGTTAAATCCCGCTCCGGAGGACATGGTGGCAGAAGGAGGGGGCGACGCGTCCCAGTGGGAAGCTGCGGGGCCGGGCCGGGAGCGGCTGCCCTCCCTGAAAGTCCCCAGGGAGCTGCTGCGGAGCTTCCCCCACTCCAAACGGGTGGGATCCTACCTGGTGGGGAAAATGATCAACAAGGGGTCGTTTGCCAAAGTGATGGAGGGGCTGCACATCGGCACGGGGGAAAAGGTTTGTGCTTTCTCTTCCCTGAGTAAGAGAATAAGAGTGAAGAGACATGTGTCAGACCAGAGGGATGGCCAGCACCAGATCACACACATACAATGTTTTGATTACAACTTGTAACTGATTATTATACTCACTTGTGTTTGTAGAGGGCAGTGGCCTATTATTATTCTTTTTATGTGTACAAAACTTGGTAATTACTTCTACATACAGGAACAAAATATTTGCTCAGCATAGCTTAAGACGATTCAAAGTTGAACCGTTTCTGCTCAATATATCTGGACTTCTATAAAACATAATGGCTAATAGATGCAGCAACTGCAAAATATATAGTAGTAATAGTTATTATTACGTTACTAATACAAATTGTTTAGACAACATATACAAAAGTATTGCCCTGATGTCCAAGTCCAAAAAAATAAAAAGGGACTACATCCATGCTAATGTTTATATATTTGTGTTTATTATTTATCTATTTGATGCCGTGGCTGTGAATATATGGACGTGCACTTATTGTCAAGTGGAGGCAGGTCGTGTGTGTGTCTGTGTGTTTGCATTTTTGTGTCTGTGGGTGATTCAATGTATGTGTAACTTTCCTTCACCGGTCATCGAGTCCCTGACCCCGGCTCATATGTACATGACCTGGTTGCCATAGTAATGACCAAACTCATCACTGGGGGTATTTGTTCCTCTTAACCCTCATTACCCTCTCCTGATACAAGAGCTGTGGAGGTGAAGAACGGAAGCAAAGTAGACCTTAGAATCATAATGAATCATAATCTAAATTTAAGTTAAATTAGTTTCAACACCAAATATTTACTGTTAAGGCATTATTAAAGGAATATACAATTGAAATAAACTGAAAGGTCCTGTCGTTTTTACCAACAATTTACTGTAAATTACAAAAGGTCCGTAAAATCCTTTTGTCAAAGGAGCTTAATAATTTTCAAAATATCAATATCACCTTCAGGAATGATAATGCCCGTCCAAATGCCTTTTCCACTCATCATCTTGAATGGATATGGGATGAGAACACACATTGCCAAGATGACTAAAGCTTTTAAACTTGCACTAAGAACAATAAATGATAGGATTAGACTTCCTAGTTATCTCCCAATGCAATATATTGATTAGAAATAGCTTTTCTATCAGTTACCCAGGGCATTTTGTTTACCGTTTGCTTCATTCGAACTCTAAAGTGCTATAAGTAGCAATTTCTCTCCAGTTCCTTATCTTGATAGCTTGTTACCTTGTTAAATATAGCTTACGTTTTAATTATGTATGGAGTGATTATGGTTAATGTTCCATTTAGATGGTGGCTTTTGGCCTTTGAAAAGAGCTCCTAAGCTAAAACTACTGAAACATCTATCTGATTGGTGTAGAGGACTATGGTTCTGTTGACAAATGAACATGTGTTTGGAGATCAACTTTTTTTTTTTTTTAAAGGAGCAAGGACTGAAGAAAAAACATAAACCAAATGAAGTGTAAGTGTTTGTGTTCAGGTGGCCATTAAGGTGATCGACAAGAAGAAAGCACGGCAGGACTCGTACGTGCTGAAGAACATGAAGAGAGAACCTCGGATCCATCAGATGATCCGGCATCCTCACATCGTGGTCCTGCTGGAGGTAGAAAACTCAAAACACACAAATTCAGAATGATTTTAACAGTCCTAATAAAGCAATGATTGGGTCTTAAATTACATACACCTGCTTGAATGTAGGCCAATTTAGCATGGATTATATTATTTGTAGGTTGTTATATAAATGTTATTACACATGGCACTGTTAAACATAGCTTGTGTGTTTGTAAGACCCTGGAGACGGAGAACAGCTACTATATGGCCATGGAGCTGTGTGCTGGAGGAGACCTGATGGACAGGATCTGTGAACGGAAGCGGCTGGATGAGAGGGAAGTGCGGCGCTACACCCGTCAGATCCTCTCTGCAGTGGAACACCTGCACAAACACGGCGTCGTACACAGGTGACACACAATCTAGTTCCACCAGAAAGCTTGATTTCAAAGAACATTTGGACAATTTGTGAAGTATGCTTTTTGCTGTGGTTTCCTGGAGGCTCTGAAGTTGTTGCGCGTATCCAATAAATTATTTGATAGTGGGCTCCGGCCCTTTAGTTCACATATTTACCCTGAAAACATAAATACAGTATTAACCATACAAAAATATAGGGGTCAAAATCAAATTTGGCCCTACACTTTCCAAATCCGTGACAGAATAACGTTTAATTTTCGGTTAGCCAAACAAAGTTCTCCCTTCTTTAGGAGTAGGGTACACTGAAAAAAACGGGGAGTAGCTAAGATTTACTTAGGAAAATCGAAGTAAATTTAACAGCGTATGTTTCGAGTAGCTTCTACTCACAGTTAAGAAGTGTTTGTTACTAAAGGCACTCAAGTAAACACTGTGTAGAGCCGATGAACGGGAGTCAGAGACGGTCTATTCAGAATGGACTTCCACACTTTATCATCCGTTAATCCACCAGAGGTAAGTACATGTGCTGCTCTGTATGATAAGCTAGCATGAATAACCCCAAACCCCGGTACCCTCACTCTCCGGTCCGGGAACACACACTATGTGACTCAGTGAATTATGTCCCGTAACTGTCACCACACAAGCCCCCCCAGAATTCACTAATACACAAAGTCTGTGTGGCGAGGAGGAACGACAAGCCGACCACCCCGACTCCGAAGAACGGGAGCCGGGGAGGCGACCTCTGAAGGGGCGGCCGCTGGAAGAGATGGGACCGGAACCGCAGGCCCCAATTCTGTGACAGGGGTCGAGGCCCCAAGTCCAGGTGAGCGGCCTTCACCCGGTCCACCGAGACGTGCTCGGCTCTGCCACCCAGGTCGACCACCAAGTTCTTATCCCCGTGCTCCAAGACCCGGGAAGCCCCATCGTAAGGGGGCTGCAGGGGGCCTCTGTGCGCGTCGTGTCGGATGAACACATGCCCCGAACTGTGAACCCCGGTCCGAGGAAATGTCTGACGGGGTGCCAAACCGACACTCCCACGTCGCAATGAAAGCCCGGGCTATGTCAGCCGCCAATGTTGACATGAGAGGGACCGCCTCCGGGCAACGAGTCGTCCTGTCCACCATGGTGAGGAGGTATGAAAATCCCTGAGAGGAGGGTAATGGACCAACCAGGTCAATGTTGACGTGGTCAAACCTCCTCTAAGGCACCAGGAAACGCTCTAAAGGGGCCTTCGTGTGGTGGTGCACCTTAGCGCGCTGACAAGCCACGCATTCACCAGCCCAAGTCCTCACGTCCTTCTTCAGCCCATGCCAGACGAACTTCGCGGCCACCAAGCGCACCGAAGGCTTAACACCGGGGTGTGACAGTCCGTGCACTGCCTCGAACACGCGCACTCGAAGGCTTAACACCGGAGAAGTAACCGTGTGACAGTCCGTGCACTGCCTCGAACGAATGGTCGTGACCTGTCTGCCATGCGAGTGTAGTCCAGGCCCAACTGGACTGCTCCAATGACGACCCTGGAGAGGCAATCAGCAACCAGATTCGACTTGCCAGCCACATGTTTAATGTCTGTGGTGAACTCAGAGATGTAGGAAAGCTGCCGCTGTTGACATGCCGACCAAGGCTCTGCCACTTTTGACATGGCGAAAGTGAGCGGCTTGTGGTCGACAAACGCCATAAATTCACGGCACTCAAGCAAAAAACGGAAATGCCGCACGGCCAAATAAAGTCCAAGGAGCTCTCGGTCAAAGGTGTTGTACCTGCGTTCTCTGGACGTCAGCTGGCGGCTGAAAAAGGCGAGTGGCTGCCAAGCGCCCTCCACCCACTGCTCGTGCACCGCGCCAACAGCGTAGTCCGATGCGTCTGTGGTAATGGAGATGGGAGCCATGGATGATGGATGCGCCAACAGGACCGCCTGAGCAAACGCGGTCTTGACCTCAGTAAAAGCAGACGCAGCTTCCGCTCTCCAGTCGATCGCCTGGATGGGGGTCGTACCTTTCAAAGCCTCATGGAGCGGCTGCATAATGTGAGCGGCCCGGGCGATGAAACGGTGGTAGAAAGTCACCATCCCCAGAAACTCACGGAGCGACCGGGCTGTGAGTGGGCGAGGAAAAGCTGCAACAGCCTCCACCTTTGCCGGCAGGGGTGCTGCACTGCCTTTGGTGACGCGGTGTCCAAGGAAGTCAATGTCAAGCACCCCGAACTGGCACTTTGCAGGATTGATGATCAACCCGTGTTGGCTGAGCCTCGCGAAAAGGGCTCAGAGGTGTGACAGGTGCTCTTCCACCGAAGCGCTGGCGACGAGTGTGTCGTCCAGGTAGACGAACACGAACGGCAGGTCCCGCAGCACCGAATCCATCAGGCGCTGGAACGTTTGGGCGCAGGGTTGAGCCCAAAAGGCATCCGCAGGAACTCGAAAAGTCCAAACGGCGTTATCACTGCTGTCTTAGGGACGTCCAGAGGATGCATGGGCACCTGGTGGTAACCACGCACCAGGTCCACCTGCGAAAACACCGACGTACCGGCCAGATGTGCCGAGAAGTCTTGAATGTGCGGCACCGGGTAGCAGTCAGGTGTCGTGGCGTCGTTGAGGCGGCGTAATCCCCGCACGGGCGCCAACCACCGTTCGGCTTGGGAACAACGTGTAGAGGAGAGGCCCAAGGACTGTCAGAACGGCGGACGATACCCAGGCGTTCCATGGTTGTAAACTCCGCCCTCGCTACTGCAAGCTCAGAAGGGATCAACCGCCGGGCCCTGGCGTAGACTGGGGGACCCTCGGTGGTGACGTGGTGCTCCACCCCATGCTTGGTGGTGAGCGCGGATAAAGTGGGCGGCGTCAGGTCTGGAAATTCAGCCAAAAGCCTGAGAAAAATGTCCGCTCCCGACAGCGAGCCCGACAGCCCGTCGTACGCTGCCTTGCAAAGTGTACACACGAGGGAGAAAAACGTCAAGGCATCAACCAAGCGTTTATTTTTAACGTCCACAAGGAGTCCGTGAGCACATAAAAAATCTGCCCCGAGGAGAGGAAAAGAAACGTCTGCCATCACAAAATCCCAGTTGAACCGCTGTCCTCCAATACACAAACACATAGGCTCATTGCGCACCGGTTAGTCGGGAGGTGAAGGCCGTGACTACCAGCGGCGAGAACAGATGCACACCGAAAGAACAACATGGGGTATGCTCCTGGACAGGTTCCTTAGGTTACAGTTCGATGGGGCTTCGACCGTGAAAGTCCTAATCTACCTAGTTGGCACAACCACTCGGAGGGGTTCGCAGCGACGTGTAATAGGGTAATGTATACTAGATATATCAGGAATATGTATTCTAAATGTTCTTTGGCGTTTGCGTAACGGAGCCCCTCCTCTCTTTTCTCGGGTCGCCTCTATTTGTCTCCCGTTGGTACCGTGTTGGTACGTGCCCTTCAGAATGTGTGTCGTGCTGGATGTCGCGGGTGAGATGTCCGTACGATAATATTGGTGTGGTGTTGTCGTAGAGGTCGTCGAAGCTCGTCGTTACCGTGGTGTTAGAGTAGGTACTTATCCACCTTAACCTGTTATCGGCGCTGGGTGACATTTTTGTAGACCTAGTCAGCTCATAGTTCTAGTGCAATGTCGGAATGAATAAACTCTATATTCTATATTTCTCTTTGCAACATAAAAGACTGTGAACTTGTGTGTCTGTGTGGCCCCCTGTGTTTTTGTGTCTCACTGTAACTTGGGAGATGGGCGATTGTCATACGGGTTCATTGAATGAGTCTGTTATAGATGTGCGCGGGAGAATACAGTAGTCATTACTTGTGTCTGACGGATGTACAAAGTAATATAGCCAAGACTTTTAACATAGCCAATGTATGTCTTTTTCTGTGAAATCTATTTACTATGATCTTACTCTTTGGACGGATTTATATTTGTATACATCTAAAAAATATATGTCTTGTCTGTTTACCTGTGTGTGAAGAGTAAGTTACCCAATATATCTTATTTACAAAGGTGTAACTCTATCTTCTGTTTATGTGATTTAGTAGATCGAATTGTTCCACTAAGTAAAGATCTAAGAGGTTTCGTCGGGGAAGAACGGACTACTGTCGAAACGTGGGTGGAACGCCGAAAGAGAGTCAGGCCGAAGTACTCGCTACAATACGTTAATCTACCGAGTGTTGAAATTTAGCAATTGTGTCTTCTCTCTAGTTATTTTGTGTTTGGTGTCTAGACCAGACTCTAGATTAGTATAAGTCGGGGGGAACGCGTGTTGTTTATTATTATAACGCTCATTGGTGGTAGTTGCGGGCACAGTGGGAAATTCTAGGCTCTTAGAGGCTGTTACGAAGGCAAGTGGGTGGGTTTTTTAGGGCCTGTTTACTCAAGTATCTCTTGGAAAAATGGGTGTGTTGTTTGTCGTCTTTTATGATGTCACCTCACTCTTTTACTCTCTTCCTAACTGGGTGTGTGGTGTTGTGTGTAAACACTTTTGTTGTAAAATAATAGGTGTTAATCCTCGTAATCGGTAGCGATGTGTTGCTGTCTGATTATTCGTGTTGTTTTCTTTTTTGTACCTGCCACCTCTTTACTCCTTCTGTGTAATGTTAATCATTTTCGTGGAGGACCCTGAGGTCTCGAAGGATTGACTTCGGAAGGTTATAGGCTCCCTTGAAGTCTGTCTCTGATAGCCTACCGATTTAACTGTGTTGTCTGTGTTGTGTTTCGACTTTCCTTTTCTTCACTTGCAGTCGTCCGGAAGTAGAGACGGTTAAAATGTGTGCCGTGAGATTAAGCGGTGGGCAGAGCGAGCGGAGAGCCCTGCGCGCTTGAGGGATGACAGACGAGAGTGTTGTGTGTGTAGGAAGTAATGTGTCACCTCAATGTGTCTTCAGTAGGAACGATGCGTTTTTCTCTGAGTCCTGTGCTCCGCACAGCATATACAGTATTGACTATGAAGGACATAGTTTGAGCGACTTCGGTGACTCTGTTTGAGCTGATGTTAAACGACTATAACCTCG